CAAGGAGATGATAATATGTAACAGACTAATTTGCCAAAGAAATCATTTTATTAGATATGAGATTAATGTTCAGAGATGTCACCCAGTTTAGTTAACATAGCTCTACCTAGCTGTTTGTGGAATTCTAGCTGGATTTGTTTGTGAAATGTCTATCCTGTCTTGTGTTGTATTTGAACACATCAGCGTAGAGTGAGCAGCCACTATTCTGCTGCCTAAAAATGAGTCACATAGTAGAAAGAGACATGTTTAGAATCAGATGTATCAGACTCTTATCTCTGTCCTCTCTGGGCCTCAGTTTTCTTACTGGATCAGTGCGGATGATGGTTACTAATTCACGGATTTGTTGGGATTAAATTATTTTGAAGCACAAAAAGAAATTGTTTCCCTGGTTTTCTCACTAAATTCAGACCTCCTAAAAACATGCCATTCCTGTTAGAATAAGTGAGTTTGAAGTTTTACATGTTAAGTCTTTACATCCTGAACTTCACATAGCCAAAATTAAAGAAAAATTATATATAGGCAAGGGGAATTTTTCAAGGAGCATATTTCAGTCTCTCGCTTAAAAAGATAAACTTTCTCTGAGTTTAGTAACACAAAATTATATTAAGTTGAAGAAAACGTACTTTGGAAGACAAGCCCACTATCCTCCTACCTATGTAATAACATCTCCTTCTAGACCCAGCTGTGGTCCTATCTCCAAGAAACCTTCTCCGGCCACCCTAGCCCACAATAATCTTTTTCCTCATTGAAAATTTGGTTTCTCTTTGACCTCTCACTGGGTGTTTAAGCACTGTTATAAACCAATGTCTATTTTTATGATTGTATCTTGCCTTATTGATTAGATTGTGATCCCTTAGCAGTCATAGACCTCGTCTTTCTTTATTTACTTCACATTCCTCAGTGGTGTTTTGTACATAATAGACACTTGAGTTGATACCTTGTACTTGAGGGTAGTGATAACAATTATTAGGCATCAAGAATACATTCTATTTTGTATTCTAGTCTATGGGGGAAGCTTCAGCTTATTCATTCACTAGGTACCCAGCCCTTCCCCAAATAAAGTTGTCGACTTTGAGCATATGCCTCTAGTGGGTTAACCAATTCAGTGACTGCTTTCCTGGGTAGTACAGAAACAATGGAATTATGGTACAAACATATAGGTAGTAGGCTGGTGTACGTGGTTGCACATATAAACTAATGATGAATAAACTTCATCTAGTGCATTGTTTGGTAATTTTAACACCACATCCATATTGTTAAGAGACAGGTAGAGAAGAATAATCATTTTGGTTGTGTGTGGTAGCACACCAGTACCGTGGAGGCTGAGGCAGGAGGATCATAAGTTCAAAGCCAACCTGGGCTACATAGTGAGACCCTGTCTCAAAACAAGAAAAAAAAATCACTTTGTATTTTGCCTTGCCACCTAATAATACATGATGATATTGACTTATGGCAGAGTACTTGCTAGTCTGTAACATCCCCTGTTGTAAAAGATTCTGCAGTAGACCAGGTGGTTTGTTGGAATAAAGCTCACATTTGCTAAGAAAGGACTAAAGACAATAATTGATGAGTCTGTCCATATTCCTTCCTCTGAAAACAGTCTGGAATGGGGTCTGGTGTCTTGTGGCCAGTTTTGCTATTTTCACAAAACCCCTATGTGTTTTTCTTTAAGTGAAAAAAGTAAAACTGTACTTAAGAGTGCCCGCACTGGTTTATTTGTGTTTTCTAGAGTGATTGTTGTAGTGACTCCATGAAACTTTCAAGGAATAGGTTTGGGTTACAAGGTGAGTAAAATTAGAGAACAGATTTGTAACTTCTCACTCTTTTTCTTTGGGTGTCTTAACCAGATTTAAAAAGGTGGTGAATGTCTGAAAACTTTGTAAACAGCTAAGATATTTAAAACTATTAACTTCCTTCCTTCCTTCCTTCCTTGCTTCCTCCCTCCCTTTTTTTTTTTTTTTTTTTTTTTGTAGTACTGGGGTTTGAGCTCAGGGCATTGTGCTTCTAGGCAGGTGCTCTACCACCTGAGCTACACTTCCAGCCTTGAAGACTATAATTTCAGCACAATAGATAGTAAGATTTGTAGATCTAAATATTATATAATTCACGTTTTCTCTTTGGTAGTATGTAGTATTAATAGCCAATAGAGTCAGATGACTTAAATTTGAGTGGATGCTGTTACATATTAACTATAATACAGCATTTCTAAAGTTTATCTTCTGTAATGCATTTAGAGCTGTGTAAGGTTTAGCTTTGTGTCAAGTAAGTATAACAGTTCGTAAGAATTTATAATGCTAGCTTTGTTCATTTTGTAGTCTAATTATCTTTGTTAGGAAAACGCCACACACCGCACACAAAGGAGGCTCACGAGGGGTATCTCATGTCCAGAGTTTAATAAGCAGCCTGGCTGGCTGCGAAGAAAAAATGGCACAGCAGCTTTTCTCAGCAGGTTTGGCCTTAAGTAGCACTTGGGAGAAAGCAAGGACTAGGGACAGACAAAGAGAGGTGGCAGGAGATAAGGGACAGTGGGGCTTTGTTGTGCAAGGGATGAAACTAGGTGCGGCTCAGACTGTAGAATGGTGGCAAGAGGGCAGTTCTTATCAATCTTGTTTGAGCTCTCCCAAATTTTGTTTTATGGGGAACTGTTCCATTTTCATACTACATCTACATAAAGTAGGATTAAGCCGTATTTGGCACACAGTATTAGCTCTCCTTCTCATCCTTTTCCCTCATATGTAAGATTGGTGAACTTTATCTCTAAGATCCCTACCTTTCCCTTTTCATTTCCATCAGTCCCTATTAAGACCTGTTCCCTTTTTATTCTCTATCGAATTTGCACTCAAAGAAAAGATTATCAATATATTGGTGTTTGTAACACTTCTGGGTTTCTGAATTTAGATTTTTATTTCTGATCATGGCATGAACATAGTTATCCTCCTTTAAAATAATTCCAGATTTGTCTAAGCTTCATAAATCACACTGTGCAATACAGAGCACTGGAAAAGAAATTTGTAAACCATCCAGCATGATCAGAGATATTGAAAAGAATGTCAGTTTCTTTTCTCACTATGTGGCCCACCAGCTATTTCTGGTTACACACATGTAATATATTTGCTGGCTTTGGTTCTAATTTGAACAGTGGTCCATTCAGCAAACTTTATGAGAACCTGGTCTGTGCCTTGTACATCACAGACCACTTAAAATGTAAACTGCAGTTCATAATTCTGAATTTTGTAGGTCTTTCTTAACCCTACATCCCTGTAGTTCTGACACTAGCATTTTGGTCTAAGTCTAGTGTTTGTCTTTCATGTTGCAAAATTCAGCAATGGAAATGGGGAAAAAAAGATATTCCTGTCTGTTTCTAGTGAATGTTAGTCTTTTCCATAGAAAGAAAAAGGAAATAAATTGTAGATAATTCCAGAGACTTCTGTTCCCCTTCTTCCATCCCCATTTGAGGGTGGGGGAGCAACTACATAGGAAATTATTTTAGTGTTCTTCCTAGAAGTCTAATCAAATATGTAAAGACTGTTAACTGAATAGATCCAAGGTGAATTGTGTACTCCTCTTAGAAATAGTGGTATTAAGGAGACTGAAACATAATTCCAATGTGTTTTATTTTTGAATTCTATTTTGCAGATGAATAGAGATGAAGGTATTGAAGGTAGAGAGGTGAAATGTACATCTCCTATTAAGTTGGATCTCTGATTGAGGAAATAACTCTGGGTATTCCTGGGATTCCCTGGTGCTTATTGATTTTTAGCTCTGTATCTAGGGAATGCTGCAGCTACATAAGAAAAGCTATGAGGCATGCTGTATGCCTCTATGCTCAGAAAGCTTTGATTGCAGAAGTACTTTTGTGAATAATAGCACTTCAGTTGAAATGTAATCTCTGAGGATCTGAAAGCCAGTATATATTTTAAATCATAACAGTGCTTTTCATTTTGTTTATAGAGAAATAAGAAACAAAGAAATATGTTATGGTTTGACAAAGGTAGGCAGATTAGATATTTTGGAAGCTTTTCAAAATCTTGAAAGCCTTGCTCTATTACTTATTTAGTGGATAATCTTCTGAATGATTGACTCTCCCCAGAAGACAGTGATCATGTGGGGAAGGGGCTGCAAGTCCATGTTAAGATTCAAGTGAAATGAGCTCCTCATTGCTGAGTGGTAAGATGTGGTGGCTGGCACATTTTGTCTTTTTGCTTTGCCTTGTCCTTAACAGTTTCAAACTAGTGATGGGTTTCATGCCATTTTAGATCCTTTAAATTGTGAAATGACTATATATTAAAATGTTAGTCAGTTCCTGGCTGTCTCTTACCATATTGAGTTGTCAAAATAAGCTGTAGAAATGGGGAAGATACAGTTTTAATTAATGTTACGTATGGGCTGAAAACCATAATGATTAGTAATTATTATCTGACTTCTTGCTGAGTTTTAACTGTCTTCATAACATTCTCATCTTTACCTCCAGTTCAGGATAAATGGGGTCAGTTTTTTTTTGCTAGCCCTTGGATAAATTCTCTTTAGATAATGTATCTCTTTAAAAATAATGCTGAAAAGGCTTTATTGTTTCCTCCCTTTTTCTTTCTTTGAGGTTTCTTCTTAATTATAATGCTTTTTTAGATACAGAAGTTACTTTTATTTTCACCTTTTAATCATTAAGAATCCTTTCAACCTGGGCATGGTGGCTTAAGCCCGTCATCCTAGCAGTTCAGGAGGCAGAGAGTGGGAGAATTGCAATTTGAGGACAACCAGGCATGAAGTTTGTAAAACCCCATCTCAACTAATAAAAGCTGGGTACGGTGGTACACATTTGTCATCCCAGCTACATGGAAGCATAAATAGGAGGATAGAAGTCCAGGTTGGCCGTGGGCATAAATGCAATACCCTATCCCAAAAATAACTAAAAGGAAAAGGTCTCCAGGTATGGCTCAAGTGGCAGAGCACCTGCCTAGCAAGCAGGAGGCCCTCCGGTCAAAACCCAGTACTGCAAAAAGAAGAGAGGAGAAAGAGGAAGGAGGGAGGAGAGAGGAAGAAGAGGAAGAGGAAGAAGAAAAAAGGAGGAGAAGAAAGAAGAAGCCTTTCAAGTCCCAATATTTCGTTTCATGAATCACCAGGTGCGGTCAATCTGAATAATTACTATTTCAGTGCAGGTACATTGGTTATGAAGTTATCTCTGCACCTTTATGTAAAGAATATAAAATTATTTTACATTTTTCCCCTTGTGAACATGTTCACTTTTGTGTGAAATTCTTTTTTTAATTCTAAAACTCTACTACATATTTAAAAATGACTGTCTCTAGAAGAGATTGCCACCTCAGTTCTCTTTGTCAAAAGGAGCCATATGTGTAGTAAATTATAGGGAGACTTTGAGGTCAAGTTTGAATCCTGGCTCTACCACTTTCCAGATGTCTGACCTTGGGTAAAGTCACTCAGAATCTCTGTGTGAATCTAGAATAATGATGATACCTCCTCGGGAGTTTAATTTGTAGATGAAATGACATCATTGCATGTCAGATATAGTGCATTGCTTGGCTAATGTTCAGTATATGTTGGTGGCAGTGGATGATTATGCTGCTTTTCACGGTTTCCTTCACTCATACTGCAGGTACCCTAGAAATAAGCATTATCACAATAGTGATGCAAAACCTGTCCCGGACTCTCACTTAGGCAAAATAAACCAACAGATGGGAAGCCAGATGTTGAAACCACTCAAAAGAGAGCAACACCCAAAAGGAAGAGATGGAGGAGCTAGTAAAACATTTTTGTAGCAGCTCAGTAGTCTAGGACCACTTAATACCCTAATATACCTTGTGACCATGAATATATACTTTGTTAAAACAGGGATATACCAAGATCTGGTTACTACTTTAAGAAATCAAAATTAGTGGTTAGTGTTTTGGATTCATTGGGGCCAACAAGGTGGGTTTTTTTCTTTTTTGTTTTGGTTTATTTGTTGTTCATTTTTTTTAAAGACAGGATTTCAGTTATATAGCCCAGGCTGGCCTTGATCTCTTGACCCTCCTACCTCAGCCTCCTAAATGCAGATTATGGACACGTGCCATCATGTCCAGCTCAGGGAGATGATTTTTTGCTTGGGGTATCTTTTTTTGGTTGCAATCAGATGATGGCTGGGACTTCCTTACCCATGCCTGGCTGAAGCTGGGTGTTATGTGAGGTGTTATGCTGGTGCTGTAGTCTGGAATATATCTACATATGGGATTTATATATGACTTGGATTTCCTTTTTTTTTTTTTTTTTAATTTTTATTAATATGCTTGGGTCATTTCTCCCCCCTTCCCCCCCGCCCTCTCCATTACCCTCCCCCACTCCCTTCCTTACCCCCCCTTACCCCTCGCTACCTGGCAGAAACTATTTTGCCCTTATCTCTAATTTTCTTGAAGAGAAAGTATAAGCAATAATAGGAAGGACCAAGGGTTTTTGACTTGGATTTCCTAATGGCATGTTAGCTGGATTCTAAGAATGAACATCCCAAAAGAACCAGGTGAAAGTGGTGTTACCTTTTATCATCTAGTCTTAGAAATCATAGACCCACCTCTTGATAAGAGGAATATCAACTTCATCATATTGTAAGAAGAGCTTATTGAATGGGATATACTGTGAGGACCATCCTTAGGAAGGAGTCTGCCACAGTCTATTCCCTGGCCATAGAATTCATATCCCTCCCACATGTAAAACACATTCACTCCTTCTATCCACCCTCCCAGTTCATATTCCATTATACTAACAACTCCCAGTCCAGGATTTTATTGCCTAAATCAAATTTTCCCCCACTCTAGCTTCCAATAAAAATCCTCTCACTTTCCTATAAGCCTTCATCAGAACTTCCTCAGGCCTAACCTGCCTCTACCTGCCACCCCATCCCAGACGTTTTAGGTTTTTTTATATTGAAGGATCTGACATCCAGGAATATTGACTATAGATTACCAAATAAAAGTTGTTTCATACTTAGTATGCTTTAAGAAAAATGAGTAAATTTTAGAAATTTTTCCTTTAAAGCTATTAGAAATTGAAAATGTATATATGCATCCAATATTGTGATTATGTTTTCAAAATCTTATCTTTTGATTAAAATACTAGTGCATAACATGACATAATTTCTAGGGCTTGACTCAGAAAATGTATTACTGGGGAATTGGGATTCAGGTACAGGTGAAATAAGATCAGCCATACTTGGTAGTTGTTGGATCTGTTTGATGAGTATGTAGAGGTTCATTATAGCACATTTGTATGTATTTAGAATTTTCCGCAATATAAAGTTAAAATAAAATACTTTGGGCATTCTTCAAAAGAAAGAAAGTTAAAATTTAAGAAGATTTTTGTCTAAAAGGGTGGGCTTTAGTTTCCTGGAAACCAGCTATGTGAGACACTCAGTTGACACTCAGTTGGGACAATGCCAAGTAAGTAAAACATATAGTACTTTTAGTCACCTAGAGTTGTGCTCTGAAACTTTTACTTTTGATTTTATAATTACTTGTTTGCCCCAAGAAGTACACATGGCCTACTTTACTGAGTTTCAACTAGCATCATTACAAAAAAAAAAAAAGTCACTCTAAGTAAGTGATTTTTAAACTATTCTCTTAAAGCACCCTTAATATCTGAGATTGAGAAGTATAACCCAAAGGATCCTAGGGGTGTCTTTGGCAAGAGTGAAATTTCTTTGAAATCCCTTGTTTTACATTTGAACTTTGCATGTATTTTTAATTACTCTATATGGTAAGTATATCTGTTTATTATAATATTAAAAATGCTTTCTACCATAACCCTAAGAAAAATACATTCCAGGATTTCTGCCAAATTTTGCATCAAACACCAAATAAACAGCACACTGTTAAATATTCATTTCCCTATTTGATCACAGTTCTGATGACTAGAAATGCTGGCTTCTGGTGAGGAACCTATAATGTGGTGTCCTTTTCTTGGCACAAATGAACAGCTATAAAAATGCCACTCTGGGGCTGTGTGCGTGGTTTAAGTGGTAGAGCACCATGAGGCCCTGAATTCAAAACCCAGTACCATCAAAAAGAAATAATATATATGCCACTTTGTAACTGTTAAAACATGTTGATCCACCAAGAGTTTTTCATAAAACACAGGTCTATGATCTCAGAACCATTGCCTTAAATCACATATAGTACTTTAATATAACTCAGAAACTTTTAAAGCAACTAGACAAATATCTGTTCTTGCCTAATGTGAGGCCAGAGCTTTAACAGGGAAATTTAAATAATCCTGTTTCCTCCCTGATGACAAAATTTCCAAGTAGCATAACACCTCAGGCTGGCCTAGAACTGGTTATATATCCCAGGTTGGGCTCGAGCTCTCAGTCCTCCTACCTCAGCCTCCTGATTGCTGGGCTTACAGGAGTGGTCAAACATGCCCAATATAGAATTACATTTTTTACTTTCTGATTTTTGTTATGAATTTTTAGTTTTATTTCACTAAGACTAAAAAATGTTTTCTTTATTTTTGCTTCTTCTTAGAATGTATTGAGGTTTTCATTGTGATTTAAGGGTCATTTTCCCTAAATGTTACAAGGCATTTGATAGTTTTTTGTTTTTGAACTTTCAGGGTATAAAATATAACCTACACCTATAATATAGCTTATCAAATAGATTGTTTAAACAGCTTCTTCCCTATTATTTTTGTTTACTTGAACTGTGATGGTCTAAGAAGTGAGAGTTTCCTGTTGTTTCAGCTTGTTTCACCTTGTACATCCTGCTGTTTCACCTTTATGATAACTAGCAATTTAGCTATTTTTGCGTAGTTATTCCTAATTGTTATATCTCCGTCCTGAATGATACCTCCAAGGGGAATGTCTAGATATCTCATGAACAGCTATATGACTGTATGTTACCTAACCTCTGTGAGTTTCAGCTTGATAATAAAACAGTATTACTGCATTCTTCAATATGTAGACTTTTCCAATTTTTTTACTGTTATTTGGCCCTAATTGCAAAAGTAATAATGGTGATTAAAATTTGGACAGTAGTACATAAATGCATAAAGGGAAAACACATGCTTATAATGCATAAAAAGTAAAAGAAAACTATGTATAGTGCATGAGAAGAAGCAAACACTACTCAGTCTGTCTTTTTAGTAAATTAGTGCATAGAGAGGGAAAAATAACAACTCATAGTCTCAGCACCCAAAGGTTACTGTTGTGTTTTTACGTATCCTCCTAGAATTTTTGTGTAGGTGTGTTTATTTTTTTAATTTTTAGAAATCTTTTCTTAGTGATATTTATAAGACAGACAATACAGAAGTGTTAAAGAATAAAATGCAAAAGGCATCTCTCCTTATAGATAATACAGTGAACAGTTTGATACAGATTTTTCCAGACTTTTCTCTTATGGATAAGTACTCTGTAGATACAATTTAAGCATAAATATAGACTCATATGTATTTTAACACAAATATAAAATCAAACTGTATTTTATAACATAAAATTGTATTTTATTTTAAATTTTGACACCTAAAATCTTTACAGTAAGCTTTCATAGATATATGGATGACTCAAACTCATTCTTTTTAACAGCTGTTACTTTATAGTACTGATGTTTATTAATATATTTACATGGGTTCCAAATATTCTATATAATTAACAGTGTTGCAGTAAACTTTGATTCGTTCAGTAAAGATTTAGGGAGCACTCACTGTGTGCCAAGCACTATATTGGTGTGGCAAACACTTTGGTAAACAAAACTTAAGTTCCAGCCTTCATGAAGCTGATTTCCAATAAGCACTCATGTCTTTGTATATTTGTAGCAATTTTAGTACAGAACATTGTTTTCCCCCTAGAACATTTTTGAAAGCAGAATTGCAGGGTAAAGAGGTCACATTAAATACTGCTAAATCTCTTTAATCTGTTCCAGTCTGAAAGAAAAAAAAACTAACTCATGTCATTGTTTCTAATAATTGTCATTATTATTAAGATGCAACATATTTCCAGGCTACTTGCCATTTGTATTTCTTCTTTTATGAATTACCTATCCATATCTTAAGGATTACATATAATACGTGATGAATTTAAAGTTTCTTTTGAGACATACTGGACATCTAACATTTGGTTGGGTGATAATAGTTTGTAGTTACT